GTTTTAAATTGTCTAAGGCTAGGTTGCACCATCTTACTTTAACTTTGACAAACGTCAAAAATCTGTCAAACTCCACGCAAAAAGCACCAGTTATCGTTATAGTTACGGTCAAAGTCAGGTGGTGCAACTCAACCTAATTGTTTTATTTATTGTTAAGTTAACACAACCTTATTGCAATTGTAACAAAGACGTGTTACGAACTTATTGCCTACTATGGGTGTCACCAAATTTTTGACGCTGACTAGACATCATAAGAAGAATAATGCTTTGGAGCCCAAATACTAAAACCATGTCGAATGGGGGACGATTTTTAGAGGAGCTATAACAAATAAGTTTTCTATTTTCTTTATACAAATTATTAGGCCTTAGAAACTTCAGAGAACAATATTTTGTGACATAATTGCCCCTATTAATATTACATTGTTTAGCTAGATATTATGAGCTCGTCTCTTCAATAACGGGAAGTAGGTATTGAGTACACGACAAGTCAATAGAAGTCAGTTTGATTAATATTTTTATTCAAGTATTTTCATTTCTAGCAATGTACACAAAGTCCTTGATTTTTAATGTATCTTTTGTACATTTGAATGAACAAGAAAGACATTAATTTATGTTTGCTGGGCGCCAGCCTGGAAACGGCTATTATGAAGCAGTACAGTTTGACTAATTCAGACAATTATATACAGACAAACTCCATTTAACGTCCATTACCTACTATAATTTGTTTTGATGAAAAAACGTGATAATGAAAATAATTGAGTTTAGTAACCATTTGTTGCGACTTAGGGACTACACATCAAACAGAGAACGGGTAGCAGCGCTCTCTGACAAACATCAATCTTTTAAACTGCGATCTCCAACCCGCCTGCCAAGCGTGGGGATTATGGCAAAACCCTCCACTATAGTGGAGGAGGCTCATAGTCCAGTAGTGGACTGTAAAGGGCTGTTGATGATTGATGATTGAACCATTTGTTTACGTCTAGGACATATAAAATGCCACATTAATTTGGTGATACAATCTCAATCGATATTTCTCTTCTACATTTGACAAAGTATTGACTCTACGAAAATGTAGGGCCCTTACAGAGGGCCCTTATAAACCTATTTACACTTATGAAGCAATAAATGATTATTCATCATGACATCATAAAGATAGCAGGAAGGCGCTGGACGCAGGCCGCTACCAACCGGGCAACATGGAAAGCATTGGGGGAGGCCTATGTTCAGCAGTGGACGTCCTATGGGGCTATGGCTGAGATGATGATGATGATGATGATTCATCATTTCAGCCATAGGACGTCCACTGCTGAACATAGATCTCCCCCAATGATTTCCACAATACCTTTATGAGTACGTCGGTCTACCTTGTGGGTGGACGTCCTACGATTATTATTAATAAAGAAAATTACCGACAGGTACACAACAAAATGCTTAAAAAAACTTACAACAACAGAGTGTAGTAATATATGTAGATAGCTGGTGGACATAGAACAACTTGATTGAGCTTTGTAATATTATAAATCCCAATAAAAACGTTCTGACATACATATAATTTGCAGTAAGCACTCTACCACCTTCCAAGACAAATTACTTTTCTGATATAGACCGGACAAGCTTTTCAAAAGCAAAGTTAAGATTAGCCCACTAATGGCCTATTGGCGTGATAACTCCGACTTTTGGCGCAAACTGAAATAATCAAGAGTAATTTGTCTGTAAAGCCTTGTTTGCACTAGTCGAATAACTTAGTCGAGTGTTGAGTAATTTAGTTGCTAAACGTGTAAGACACCAAAAATGTAATCGAGTAGGATACAAGTCGAGTCAATACATTTTTTTCTATTTTGACGGGCAAGTAGCAGCTGCACCCCTCAACAGAACCACAGGTCCCTTCTGTCTCACTCGAAACGAGTCGATTTAGTCGAGTTCATAAAAGTCTGAGAGTCCTCTACCTGGACATACGCTTCCCTGGCTTACCTGGAAAGTCTTTAAATAGACATCGGACTCAGGTCGGCCGTAGTGTTCAGGTGGTGATTCTTGTGTGTGGTTTTGTTCCCCAGTTGACAAAGCACATGATGTCGTGTCCTGTGTGCCCAAACAACTGCACGCAAGAAGATTTTGTGGCGGGGTTTTAGGGCTGACACTGTGTAGATTTGTTGTCGATACGATAAGAAGAAGATATTTTATCTTCTTCTTCACTAATCACTTATAATCTGTACCTTGACGACCAAAGTGCGAACGGTTTTCTAGTTACTAAAAGCGAGTAACTTGACTAAATTAATCGACCAGTGCGAACAAGGCTTAGTGGAGTTTGAAGAAAGCCGACTTTGAGTGTTATTAGCTCAAAGTTAGCTATCACAATATCTAACCTTGATTTGGGCGCGAATTTGTCTCAAATTTATCGTTCGTACAATGTGACCGGTTTAACCCTAGATAGCTAACCTTCCGGCGTACCCTGTTTAAGCTAACCATCCGTCGAAATGACGGGTATTAAAAAAACATTATTTTTTGGACGAAGTAATTTAAAAAATCTAAGTCTTTTTTACAGTTTGGTTCCTTCACATATTTGTGAATAAATGTGCATTATTTAAATTCACATTATTTATTTATTAATTAAATTAAAATATTTTTTCTTAGACCTCTAAAGAAATTGGAACATTTTGTAAGTAACCACTTTGACATGCAATATCAATGAAATTTTTAAATAAAATAATCGGTTTTTTGACTTAATATGGTACGTAAAAACATTAAAAGTAATAAACTCATAAAATATTTTTTTTCTTTTTAGCGCAAGTGACACAAAAATCAACTTTNTACAAACATTTGTGTGCATGAACATATTTGTTTGTATTGGACTGGGTGTTTTCTATGTATAATAAGTATGTATTTACAAAAAAAAAAGTATTTAAGTATGTTTATATCCGTTGTCTAGTACCCATAGTACAAGCTTTGCTTAGTTTGGGACTAGAAGCGCAGTGTAAAATGTCTAAGAATATTTATTATATTATTATTATAATGATGTCGTGCCCTGCGTGCCCAAACAACTGCACGCAGGAAGATTTAATGAAGGCTACTGACAACGCCACTTTCGTGGCGGAGTTTTTGGCTGACACTGTGTAGGTTTGTTGTCGACACGATTAGAAGAAGATAAAAAGCACTAATCACTTATAAAATCTGTACCTTGTCGACCACAGTGCGAACGGTTATCTAGTTACTAAAAGCGACTTACTTGACTAAATTACTTGACCAGTGCGAACAAGGCTTAGTGGAGTTTGAAGAAAGCCGACTTTGAGTGTTAGCTCAAAGTTAGCTATCACAATATCTAACCTCGATTTGAGCGCGAATTCGTCTCAAATTTATCGTTCGTACAATGTGACCGGTTTAAGGGACTTTTTTATTGTGAACTCGGGTCTTATTATCCGGCAGACTGTCGCCGTTGTAAAAGCGAACAAAAGTACTGTTTTGGAAATTGTTCGCTCAAAGGCACACCAAGTATAGAAATTAAGATTATGTTACATCTAATACGTTATCACATTCTATACTCAAAGAGTGTTGGTTTTATTCTGTGTCACGTTGTTTATTTGCATGTACCTAAGCTTGACTCTTTTTTACAAACATGTCTCAGGATAGCTTGCCTTAGCCCTTAGACAATTTACAATACCTATTTGGAGTAGTTTCCGAAACTGTGTTGGTTTTTCTTTAATGCATCAGATATTTCAATGAAATCACCTGGGGCAGTGTAATTAACACCTAAAAAAATCAATAGAATAATACAAATTGACAGTCAAAAGATAATACGGGCTAGTCGCAATATCAATGAAACTTTGTCTAATTTATATTTTATGCAGACTTATGCCTATCATCCAGCCAGACTAATTGTTATAATTCATTAATAGACTTATGTCACATTACTCTTTAAGTACTTATTAGGTTACCAGCCAAATGTTTGTTGGACGTTGACTTTCGAAGGTCGCAATTTAAAAATACGAGTATCACCAAAGTTTCAGCACAAAGTTTAAAATTAATCTCTAACTATTATTAGTTTGATGGATGGCCTTTTATTTGTTTAGCACACCTAAAGTTAATTATTAATTCTGACATAATGAAAAATTACCAAGGTGTACGTTGTACGACAGTCATCATCATCATCTCAGCCATAGGACGTCCACTGCTGAACATAGGCCTCCCCCAATGCTTTACGACAGTGCTGTAAAGATTTTCTGGTTAATTTAAAAGTCGCTTATTTATTTATTTAGTTACTAGCGGCCGCCCGCGACTTCGTACGCGTGGATCCCATTTTACACCCTTCATCTGTCTTACGCGGTTTAGATTTTTTCATACAAATGTTTTTTCCCGCTAACTCCCGTTCCCGTTGGAATTTCGCAATATCCTGTTGTCACTAAGCTTTAAGTTTACTAAGAGACCTTCATGTCAAATTTCAAGCGTCTAACTTAAGCGGTTTAGATTTTTCATACAAAAGGATTTTCCCGGTAATTCCTGTTCCTGTGGGAATTTCGGAAATTCTTTTCTTAGTGCAACTCTACGGTACCTAAGCTACGTCCCTTATAAATTTCAAGTGCCTACGTTTAGCCGTTTAGGCTGTGCGTGGGTATGTCAGTGAGTCAGTCATACAAAAGGAATTTCCCGCTAATTCCAGTTCCCATAGGAATTTTGCAATATCCTGTTGTAACTAAGCTTTAAGTTTACTAAGGTACCTGCATGCCAAATTTCAAGCGTCTAACTTACGCGGTTTAGATATTTTCATACAAATGTTCTTTCCCGCTAACTCCCGTTCCCGTAGGAATTTTGCAATATCCTGTTATAACTAAGCTTTAAGTTTACTAAGGTATCTGCTTGCCAAATTTCAAGCGTCTAACTTAAGCGGTTTAGATTTTTCATACAAAAGGATTTTCCCGCTAATGCCCGTTCCCGTGGGAATTCCTAAGTATCCTATAACCTGCCCAGGAGTATGAAGAAGAATTGTACTAAGTTTCGNATTTATTTTTATATTTATATTTATTATTTTATCGTTTTTTAATGAAAACAAGATGAAAATCTAAAAAAAATCTCAAATTATTAAAAAAAATGTATGCGGGCACTCGAACTAAATTACTTACGGTAAAGCTAACCATCCGTCGAAACGACGGGCAAAGATCAAATATCTTGAAAACTATGAAACTTACCTGTCCACTGCCTACACCACTGCAAAGGACTCCCGGGCCTCTGAGTTGGCTAGTCGGGACAAAACGTTTGGACGTGGCATTAAAAAGTTACAACGTTATTTCTTTTCAATGCCCGTCGAATCGACGGAGGTTAGCTATCTAGGGTTAAGGGACTTTTTTATTGTGAACTCGGGTCTTATTATCCGGCAGACTGTCACCGTTGTAAAAGCGAACAAAAGTACTGTTTGGGAAATTGTTCGCTCAAAGGCACACCAAGTATAGAAATTAAGATTATGTTACATCTAATACGTTATCATATTCTATACTCAAATAGTTTTGGTTTTATTCTATGTCACGTTGTTTATTTGCATGTACCTAAGCTTGACACTTTTTTACAAACATGTATTGTCTCAGTATAGCTTGCCTTAGCCCTTAGACAACTACCAATACCTATTTGGAGTAGTTTCCGAAACTGTATTGGTTTTTCTTTAATGCATCAGATATTTCAATGAAATCACCTGGGGCAGTGTAATTAACACCTAAAAAAATCAATAGAATAATACAAATTGACAGTCAAAAGATAATACGGGCTAGTCGCAATATCAATGAAACTTTGTCTAATTTATATTTTATGCAGACTTATGCCTATCATCCAGCCAGACTAATTGTTATAATTCATTAATAGACTTATGTCAAATCACTCTTTAAGTACTTATTAGATTACCAGCCAAATGATTGTTGGACGTTGACTTTCTGAGGTCAAAATTTAATATACGAGTATCACCAAAGTTTCAGCACAAAGTTTAAAATTAATCTCTATTATTAGTTTGATGGATGGCCTTTTATTTGTTTAGCACATCTAAAGTTAATTATTAATTCTGACAACTGGCGACTGTATGAACCAATTTTGCATGTGTGTATTATTACTTAAGTAGTTAATATGTACAATAAGTTACACTTATAACAGTTAGCACGAGAACGACTGCCGACAAACTGTTAAGCAGTTTGGCAGATTAGTATTTAGTAAAATCGATGTAACTTTTATGAGACAATAAATAAAAAAATAAAAAAAGACAGTCAGCAGTTCAAATATTCATATTATTATCTAAATATTACGTAATAGCCGTTTTCCTCCATTAAAGTACTTAAGTTATATGTATTATCAACACACTAACTACCATAGTATTAACAAACCTAAGCCTGCATTGTTATCAAAAGATTTAAATAATCTTACAGAAGAGACTTATTAATTAATTCATCTCGGCGTTAATAACTTTGAAGTTTTGATTTAATTGTCAAGAGACGCCAATCTAAAATTAGAAACGGATTAGTTCAGAGATTTTGGTGGGAGTTATATCGAAGCTTGGAAACTTTATGAGCAGTTACACTTAGTTTTTTCTAAAACAATAAATCATTTTTAATTTATAGTCAGACAAAATTTTTCATGTCATTTTCAGCCAACTAGGTTGTTTTTTAACTGCAAATCTTAATAATTAATTTGGTTTTTGGATCTGACTCAATGTCTATTATTACACATACCTACCGTAGACTACAGATTTTTTGTCGACCGATAGTTAAGCCGGGCTTGTTACTCAGTATGAACCTATGTTATGTGAGTACCTACATTACACCGATTTGGTAGCGACCATTCCATAGACCAGTGTTTTTCAACCTGTGGGTCGCGACCCCCTGGGGGGTCGCGAAGCCTCTATAGGGGGGTCGCGAGAGGTCGTAAAAACTACCTCAGTAAAAAAATCAGTAAAGTTTTAAAGCTAGATTAATCCGAAATCTAATTATGCAAATTCATAAATGTTGTATAGATTGAAGAATTCTGTCCCTACAACATCTTTGTAAAAGGCATGAAAACAAAAAAGCTTGCCAACTGCGTAAAAATGAACTAAAAAGATAATCAATGACTAATTCTTTTGTTGGTGATGTATTTGATGCCTCCGACTGCATTTGTGAACACTAACTTGTCTTGTTTTTGTTTTTTTAGTTCATTTTTACGCAGTTGGGTTTTTTGTTTATTCAATAATAATTTTATTTTAATCTTTTTAGTTAAATAACGTGCATTTTTGTAAACTACTCAAAAAGCCCTTTATTTTGATAAATCACTCCGTAAATTTTTGGGGAAAAATTTTTTTTTAAGACATTATGGCGCCTAAAATCCGCCATTTTGATTTTTTCTACTTTAATATAGCCAGTGTCACTCTCACGATTAAGACAAATCTAACGACACCACTCACTTCATGCTAGGGGGGTCGCGTCATGAAAAAGGTTGAAAAACACTGCCATAGACAAATTGGAAGCCGTTTAAACTATCGGCCGATTCAAAGTCTGTAGGTAGCCTTCCGGGTGCCTTAATTAGAGGCAATTTTAAAACCTATGCAGTTTTTCCATGAATCTTGAATCTCGAATTCATCAACTCACTGGCGTGACTTATAAAAACCGTTTTTAATGGTGATTTCGTTCGAACTACATCAATGGTCCAATTCGCAGGTACAACGTCGCGTTCATGGTGTTAACATACTTCCTGCCGATCATGTCGATGTCATACACCTATTCCCGTGTGGGCCTGGAGCTATGGGGCTCACAGTCCATAGGTGAATGCACGCAAAGGCAGCTGGACAACGTGAAGAGCAAACGGAGGGTAAGTACAGAATCTTAACTTATCCCATTCTGTTGTACTTCCCGTAAGTGAAATTCAAGCTATGGCGATGGCAGTCATAAGGGAGCTAGTGCACGCAGAGGCAGCTTGATAACGTCAAGAGCAAACGGAGGGTAAGCACAGTATCGTAACTTATCCCGTGCTTTTGCCCAGAAGTAGGATTCAAACTGTGGGCTGTGGGGCTAGCAGTCTATTGGCTAGTGCACGCACTGGCAAAGTCGAGAGCAAACGGAGAGAGTAAGCCAGAATCGTAACGTATCCTGTATCCTGAAATCTCGTAGTCATAGTAGGAAGCTAATGGGTGCTAATGGGGAGGTTAAAACAGAACAGTCATCATAACTTTTTACACAGATGCTATGTCGAAGTCATGGTGCTTTTGTATATTTCTTGCCGAAAATCCAATCCAATCCATTAATCCTAAATGCAAAACCTTTCTGTTTTCAAAATAAATTATTCCCCGCAAATGTTGTTACTGGTAAATAAATCACATTTCGTTTGTTTAAAATTCGCAACAAAGAAGACTTCGCTTCTTCAAATAAAACAAATGTGTTTGATTTATACCTTCTCATCTTGAATAAATGCATACTAATATTTGACTTTCCGAAAAATCAACAGCATTTGTTTGAAATTTCAGCTTTCTGACTAACAAATTTCGTTACAACACCAGTACAAATAATACAGCCTTGAAAATGTAACTCGGAATTTCATTTTGCAGAGGATTTTAATCTTTAGACCTTGCTCAATAACACGCCGGCTGCATTAGAAGGATTTAACATTTATCAGTCGTTCTCTTTGAAGATTATTTTAAACTGCGGGTGACTGTTTAGTCAGCATAAGCGTAATCGTATGATTATCGTTATAGGAAGTAGATAACCCTTTTCAAAAGTGGGTCGTAACTCCTTTTCTTGTCTTATTTAAGTCGCAATTATTATTTTTACGCTTTTGAGTTTTCTCACCGAAGAAGTGAAATACTTTTTCAATAAGTAGTAACTTTTTGATATTCAATTATAATATTTTGTAAGACTTCTTTAACTTGATTTTGCTACTCGAATAGACCCGACGAACTAATCAAGTGCTTCATCGCTTTTCCTAATATCAAACTTATAAAACTTTACGAAATCCTCGACTTTGTAATTTTCCACTGGGCAGTTATTTGTGATTGACAATGTTTTTTGAGTCAAAATTAGTGCCTTACCTTTTTATGTGCGTCATGATTTCCAGGTAGAGCATATAAATTAAGTAAATTAGGATCATAAATATCAATTTGCCTAAAAAAATCCTTTAATGGTTAAACCTGGCTAAAAGGTTCAAGCAATGACCTCAGTTATTACAAACCACTTCAAAGAAGAAGATCCACAAATAAATAATACTTACGCCCGTATTCACAAACATTACTATGACGTCTCACAGTACGCGTGGACGCATGAACCAATCACAGAGCTCTATTTAACGCTGTGCGTTCGATTTGCTGCTTAACTTAAGCAAGCATTGTTTGTGAATACGGGCGTATAATACTCATCAATTTTAATCATCCACCAGGTAGTGAAGATGATGATTGTGGTCGTGGTGATATTCGCGGTGTGCTGGCTGCCGTTCCACGTGTACTTCCTCGTGACGTCATACTACCCGGACATAGTGAACTACGCGCATATCCAGGAGATATACCTGGCCATCTACTGGTTAGCGATGAGCAACTCCATGTACAACCCCATCATCTACTGTTGGATGAATTCCAAGTAAGTTATCTGAATGTACTTTGATTTTTTTGGGCACGCTTTAATTGACTGCTACGCCTCGTATATTCTTTTGATTAAATTCGTTGGGTTTCAAGATAGTAAGCTGGTGTGGCGTGTAAATAGCCACACCAGGAATAAATTGCGGAGAAGAAAGATGATGCGGGGGTCGGTTGGTGACTCCAAACAACTCAAAAATACAGCTGCATAAAACGGAAACCACCAACCTGCGGATCAGGAGACGGAGACCAGGCTTCGAGGGTCGACCCGTCGATATTTCTTGCGGTTTACTTGTTGTTTTGATTATTTAAATTTATATTCAGCGGACTTTTCACATTTGACAGACGTTCCAAGACAACGAGTTTTTTCTTCTTAATTTTCTATAGAGGTTTTTCGCGTGACACTTAACACTGGCCACTTGGCTCCAGCAAAGGTGCTGGCCCCGAATCCGATAAACAGATTGGTGGGAAACCATCTCATGCAGCTAGATAATTTTGAGAGTTGGAGCCACCGAAGAAAAGGAAGATAAATTTGGACATAGGCCCAACCAATAAGCTATCCCCCGGGACTACTCGTTCAACATTCACTGGTTGTAATTAATTGGCGGCCAAACTGTAGATCCTGGTATTTAGGAATTTCAGTTCTGGGGTTGAGAGATGTCTGGGGGATTAGTCCCTGTTTTTATTTAAGCAACATGAATGAACTATGGCTGTTAATCATTTTTTCTACAAATTTCTATTAATGTTTGTAGACCCCTAGGCTAACAGATCGTAATAGCCCGAAGATTCGGTTTGTTAGATTACTCGAGTGTTTGTCTTACATGTATCCAATTGTTTACTAATGAAACTTCTACTATTGATTCCCAAAATAAGCATTTTAAAGTGTAAACGCTGTAAATACGAATACGATCAGAGTTTATTACAAATGTATGCAAGTAAATAAATAAATCTTTGAATTGGGTCTCAGAAACTTGGAGCGTGAACTTGTTTACGCTTGTCGACGTGTTTACTTTTAGTTTTAAGAGCATGTCAAGGCTTATTAAGAAGTTTGCGAGTTCGATTACGCTTTAAATCTAATATTAGACACACACGGTATCTATCTACGAAATGTTTTGAGATGATTTAACTCTTTCTTGGAAAACTTGTTTGTTGTGATGTTGTTGTTTATACATCAAACAAAGTAAATCCACTTGGGTAATCATTACATGTACTACTTTCTAAGAGGTTCACATGAAATAACAAATATTCCTCAAAATTCCGCAGTAAGGTGCTAAAGGGCTACAACGCCGGTTTTCAGTATGCCCAATTTGGTTCACGGTCTATAAGAATCATCCCATGCACAGATTCCGGCGTGGCTTCAAGCAGTTCTTCTGGTGCTGCGGTGCGTTCAGCGGCGGCGGGCTGAGCCGGCATCGGCCGTTCGGCGCCGACCGCCTGGACCGCTCCATGCGCTCACTGTCGCCGAGCCGGAAGAACGGTACGAGTAAGTTGAGCGGTTTGTTCTCTTGGTGTTTGCTAATTGAACATTTTTAACGCAATCGTTGATCGGTAACGTGGGGGATAATGAAAAGGGATTTTCACACAATTATCAACCAATTACATTATTCGTTGGTCACTTATGGACAATTTATTATAAGTCCTTAGACTGATGCATTTCTTTCCCTGTTTTTGTAAGAATAAGAGCAATCTTTATTTTAAATTACTTGTTATTTATGACGATTAAATTGATGATTATTGTTGTATAATTGCTTACCTTACCTGGGAAAGACAAGTCGCTATTGATGGGTGCTTCTTCTTCCTAGGTATATTCAAGGTGACGTCGAAATCTTCCAAATTCAGCAAAAAGCCGCCGGGCTCCCCCCACTTGCTGCATGCAAATAAAATACGAAAATAGAAGTCAGGGTAAATGAATTTCGCATTATTGGATTGGCTTAACTAGTAGTTAGGCTGGTCATCTCGGTAGACTAACAGTTGCTCCTCCATCCCCGCTTGGTGACGTCATGACGACAACCGTCCGAGACCGGCGTGTTGAGTCGGTACATGGTACTTTGATGTAGTGTTTTGTCGTCGGTGGTATCAAAATTTTAATTTTCCATACAAACCTTTTAACATCTAGCATCAGTTTAACTTTAACGTTTAGTTACCATCATCTAATTTCTACAAAAGTTTTAATTTCTTTGTAGTTTTCATAGATCTATCGTAATTTTTATTACTCTTATTCTGTTTTCTGCAAAAACAATCTGATTCGGAAACATAGCATGAATTTGTTTTTTGATAACTCCATTTTATTGATCTAAACGTCAAATCATAAAATGTTTGATACCACTGACTTTGATATTGTGTAACTTACTGACCGAAGTCACAACCTTCAATTATGAGGGCTGGTTTCGGTTTGTGAGCTGTTTCAGTGTTTGTATCCAACTGCAGACCAAGGGGTTCAGAATATCTGTCAAGCAAAATATTTAACTGAAGTGTCTCGATGTTTGAGAGATAAAAAATATGTGTCATTTCAATAGGACTCTCTCGATCAGTGTGCTTACCATGAGTTTGCGTTAGGTGTGCTCGCTAGCGAGTACGTCAAAAATCTCTATGAAGATTTAGTTTCTTAAAAGTAGCCGCTAGGGGCGCTGCACAATATGTCATACAATTAAATGTCATTTTTTTACGCAGTCGCTAGCGAGCACACCTAACGTAAACTCATGGTAAGCCCACAGATCAGTGTACCTACCATGAGTTTACGTTAGGTGTGCTCGCTAGCGAATAGGCGTCAAAAATTTCTATGAAGATTTTTTTTCTTGAAAGTAGCCGCTAGGGGCGCTGCACAATATGTCATACAATTAATGTCATTTTTTTACGCAGTCGCTAGCGAGCACACCTAACGTAAACTCGTGGTCCTAACCTAACGTAAAGTCCCAAACTAAGCAAAGCTTGTACTATGGGTACTATAGACAACAGATATAAACATACTTAAATACTTTTTTTTTTTTTGTAAATACCTACATACTTATTATACCTACATAGAAAACACCCAGTCCAATACAAACAAAATATATGTTCTCATGTATACAAATGTTTGTACTGTGCGGGAATCGAACCCGCTACCTCCGGAATAGTAGTCCGTTTCGAACCTCTACACCAAACGGCCGACGAGTGACCTGATGAGAATGATCTGATGAGAAAGATCCAGAAATGATGCAACATTTTAACTACTTACGCTCGTGTTGGGGGGTTAACTCTTCAGAAGCTTGAGCCGCTCTCGTCCGCAGGTACGATCCGCATCTCGATGCACAGCACGTACAACAACACGCTGGTCAGCAGCGCCTGACAGCGGCGCGGCGGCGCGCCCGAACACGCGCCCGACGCGCACCCGCACGTGGAACGCACGTGGATCTGACGCGCGACCCCGCGCGCGCCGCGAACGCCGCACGACCTTTACGCCTGAGAGACGGGCACAAAACTAAATTAATTTAATTTATAACCTTATTATAAGCTTTTATTTACCTTTTAGGACTTTAGGAGGGAACTCTAAACTACTTAATCATTTTGTTTTAATGTAGATCAGAGGCCTAGTGTGAGTTTACATCAAATGTCAAAAAATGTCAGTAAAATGTATGACAGATTATACAGCGCCCCTAGAGGGAAACGTTCAAAAACTAAAATTTTCATACATTTTTTTATGTAAACTCACACTCAGCTTACTGATGTACGCCACACGACCTCGACGCCTGAGGGATACGGGCACAAAACTAAAATTAATTTCATTTATAACCTTATCATAAGCTTTTATTTACCTTTTAGGAGAGAACGCTAAACTATTTAATCATTTTGTTTTAATGTAGATCTGGTACGCCACACGACCTCGACGCCTGAGAGATTCAGGCACAAAACTTATTTATAAGGTTATAAATTAAAATAATTTTAGTTGTAGCTTTTATTCTTTCAAGTCGTAAGAGTGTCGTAAGAGGCGACTTAGGGACTACACATCAAACAGAGAACGGGCAGCAGCGCTCTCTGAAACGAATCTTTTAAACTGCGATGGAGTGGTGGAGGCTTATAGTCCAGCAGTGGACTGTAAAGGGCTGTTGATAATGATGATGATTCTTTCAAGTAACTTTTCTCCGGCAGTACTCACATACCAATTTCCAACATTATTAACAAGAGCTGTAACTTTCATGTCACAAAACCCAAAACGAAATAAAGATAAGCGCGATTAATTTAATCCATGCACATTTCACAGCCACGCTACAGAAAACATGCGTGTTTTCAGTCAGATGTGTGCACGTAGTGTAATCGAAGCTCATACCAAAAAGCTGTTGCCATTTAAACCCGTATTCACAATGATGCTTGCTTTATCGAAGCGTCAACGCTATGAGAAGTTGCAAACGCACAACGTTGAATAGAGCTCTGTGATTGGTTCGTGTGTCCGCCACTCAAGTATTGTCTATGAAAAGCTTTTTGGGACCTTGTTCGTCCACGTGCACTGTGAGACCACATAGTAATGTTTGTGTATACGGGTGTTACTCTAGCAGTGGAGTCACGTCCACCTGCGTCGTAATACTATTTTATTACGTTTCGTGAAACTACGAACTAATTGTGAATTTTTCATGATTGCATTTTGTGATTGCTTATAGAATGAGCTTTCAATTAATGAACACAGCAGTATTAATGAATCACGATGTTCATTTCTTCTTGCGCCTGACTCGCACGTGTATCGCACGTGGAAACGCGATAAGTATTCGATCACGTGAGACGACACTAAAAGTAGACCTCTGTTCATAATCGCACATCCATTTATTACAACCACCCCTTGTAGCTATATTCTAAGTGCATTTCATTTTTAGATGCACGTGTCACATTGAAAATTTCCCTTTGACGATTAAAAACATACAAATCGCCGGACACAGATTTTAAATCATTGATTTTCAAAGCGAGTTCTATTAGAGGCGGTCTTAATTGGCTACATTTTATAAGGGGTTGTAATTAATGGGAAGCTTTTGAAGCTTTTTGCTTTTTGTGGATTTCATTTAGCTGAAACGAACGAATGCTGCTATACTTATCAAAATTCATGCCCAGGGTTCAGGGTCTTTTAAAATGTCTTTATAGTTTTTCTAATGTTTCCATTAGTTCCTCTAATATTTATTCAGATTTTACAATGAGGTCGGATTTTAGAGTTAATATCAATGTGGGTAATATCTTTAGAGACAAAGAGCTCAAAAATATCTCACAATATTACATCCTAATTGACATGACAAGTTTAAAATAAGACTAGCTCTAAGCGAATGTTTTCTGTAAGATATTTCTTAGCACTTTCAATGTGTTTCGTTTATTACTTTTACGTTTACTACTGTTGTACAAAGCAATGAATTTGATGTGACAATCGTTTCTAAGAGGACGTATGATATAAGTTTTTTAGGTAGTGGACCAACAGATCTTCCTCGGCCATACTTTTGCAAATTATTATAACATATATGCTAGTTATTTTTACGATATTGATACATAAAATTTAAAACTAATTTCGATATAAAATAAGTATCCATATTTATTTATTTTATTTAAAACAAGTTACATACTATTTCCAAATATGACAATTGACGATGTCACAAAAACCAGTTTTGGTTTTACCGTGCACCACTGATTCGACATGAGACTCAATCATTCAGAGCTTAACTAAAGTTGAATATTTTACTGCTTTTGTCAATTTTCTATTTACATCAACAGTACCCTTAAAGATTTGTGTATATTTTAGATTGATTATTACTTATTATAAATTAAGTAGGAAAACATGGAAAAAAAATAAGACACCTTTAATGATTTGTTAATGCATTATGTCAGCCTTAGGTAGGTACTGCACTAATTAAAAGTTTAATTATAATGTTTATGTTAAACGTAGGTATGAATAAATTATGTAACGGTTAAGATATTCAAATGTAAATAATAAATTTATATTTTAAGCTATCACTGTACATAACTTGACGTAATTCTAAAAGATATACGTATACGTTTAGCTCTTGTAAATAAAAGTAGATTTAGTGCTAAGTTACAATTAAGTAAGTAAAATATAAACATAAAAGAATTTCTATGTCGACCTAATAGGTATTCATATCTTAATAATTGTTATAAATAAGTGCTCTATGTGAATTTGGAAATAAAGGAATTAAAACGATTTTGTTATTTTAATGATATTTAAAATATTTTTTGACATTTGCAAACCAATGAATTATCGGGGAAATCATATAAACAAAATTTATACTAAGTACTTAGACCTGAAATATAATAATGTACTGAATTCTGAGACGACGATATTACTGATATAACAAAATTAAATTCAAAACCGTAGTAGGTATAGTATGCAACAACAAAACATACCTACTCAAACTACTCATGTTTCAATCGAGTTTGAGCTTACCGGAAGTTTCTAAGCTAAAGTTAGTCAAAGTACATCCGTATTACAAAATAATCCAATAATCTTGTACTTAAGACTTTGTAAAACTGTTAAACAAAGTAATATTTTACAAAACGCTTCCTGATAACATCGTGATGTTATTTAACAACAAACTGAAATAAATCTCCTCTCAACAAACTTGCGAAGCTGTTATCAACTTCGAGACCCTTTTTATACTTAATTGATAAAGATGATAATCAACTGTTCGCTAAGTCTTTTGTACAGTCGACAACAAAATATCTTTACAGTCAAGTTGCTGAAAAATATCCACAGTTGAAATGAAGATACGAAATGTATTCCATTGTAACTTTTTGAGATATGAATTTGAAGTGATACAAAAGATAGTGATTATCTCCGACTGTACGAATAAAATGAACGAATATTAATTAAATGAATTTTAATCCTTGTTAAAATCCAATAAAGATCGGAAATTATTTAGTTTGTGCCCTTGTTAAAAACCTATGAAATACCTATAAACATCAGCTATTTATTTGGCCTGCACAGCACATATCCGATAGTTAATAATAATTAGTCTGCTATTAATGAACAGTCAATCAATACATTTTTCCAATCCGTTGATATGAGTTATATGTCGGCACTCACACGGCACACACTGTGTGTAATCGAGAAATTTTAGACGATAATGAAATAGCGGGGCGTGCCGAGTGACCAAATGTGTGTTAGTAAACAACGATCGACTGCTGAAATTAGTCACCGGTTTTATAATCTTTTTATGTGTTAAACAAATAGAAAACATAACAACAATCTACTCTTTTAGGCCCAGAACAGACGGTGAAACGCAACTGCAACGAAACTGCAACTAGTAGTTACTTTTGAGTTGCATCTAAGTTTCTGCCATAGCGTCCGTTGAGAGACCACACATGACGCGACCAGTTTGAAACTTTCAGTCTCAGTTTCATTCATCAGAATCATCAGAAAGTTGCAGTTTCGTTGCAGTTGCGTTTCACCGTCTGTTCTGGGCCTTACACGACTGTCGACCACGGGCAAGAAGACAAGACAAAGACCTAGTGTAGGCAGGCCCCCCACTATGTGAACCGACGATCAGGTGAATATAACGGGAGGTGTCTGGATGCGGGCGGCGCAGGATTGGTCGTAGACATCATTTGCCTGAAAAGAACGAACTCTTTTACAAGATAAAATATGCTTATTGTCTTTCAAAGATTAATCAGGCCATATCGGTACAAAGTAATAATAATATGCTGGTTCCCTAATAAAATCTGACATCAGCTCCATAATATAATGTGATGTTGTCTTGAATTCTTGCCTTGTGAAGATAGGAATGCATCATAGGTAGGTACTTTTGTTTCTCGTGTGAATTTGACTTAACCTTTATTACTGGGTCTGCAAAACTAAATATCACACTTTGAAATGCAATAACGTTTTAAGTTCACAAGATATTACCTACTTTCGAAATAAGAAGGACTTAAAAAAAGTGCTTCATAATGCTTTTTTTTTTCATCTAGTTTAGAAAAACATGAAATTTTAAAAACTTTTGCAGGCCAGTGTAGTTTAGAAATTTTGCTTAGGTTTACAATATCTAATTTGAAGCGGTTCAATTTGCGGACAAACTTTGATATTGTTTCGGTGGAAACAGAAGCCGTAAAAATAAAGTTAAACCCAGCCCAGCTGTATCGAATCTCGGGTTAATAGCTAGCCGGCTCGCGGCTGTCTAGTCATTTGTGTCAGGGATATTAAGGATATGAAGTTTCGGTTATGGATACGGTTACGGATATTAGAATAATATTATACCGGTTACGGTTACGGATATGAAATCATTTTGGATACTATCCGTTCGCTTTAAGTTTGCCGCTGGCGATATGACGTCACTCGAAGGGAAACGTCTATAACTTTATCAAACTATATTTAAAATATTTTTTATTTATTATTATTGATAAAATTGTGTATTTGCATAAAATAAGACACATTAATTGCGTTGCGCAT